AGGATGCCCTCTGGACCCAGTGGAGGTGGTGAGTGACAGGAGAACGGCGGCTAAGCTGTCATCCCTGATGGACAACATCTCCCACCCCATGCAGCAGACTGTGACAGCACTGAGCAGCTCCTTCAGTGGGAGACTGCGGCACCCACGGTGTGGGACGGAGAGATTTCGCAGGTCTTTCCTCCCCACTGCTGTCAGACTCCATAATAAAGACTTTAACTGATCAAGCACACACATCCATACATATGCAATAACACTAAGTGCAATAATCCTTTCTGTCATCGTTGTATTTTTACTCAGTTGTATATAGTATTTGTATTTGTATTCTATTTTTATCTTATTGTATATTTATTTTATTGTATTCTACTGTATATAGTATTTTATTCTATTCTGTACAGTTGTGTACTGTATTTATTCTTATTGTATTCTAATTTTTGCCTCATAACTTTTGCACTGTCCACTTCCTGCTGTGACAAAACAAATTTCCCACGTGTGGGACTAATAAAGGTTATCTTATCTTATCTTATCTTAATTACTTCAGAATTCACTCAAAAGCAATTTTTTTCTCAGGTTTAATCGAGCTGTTAGTTAATTAGGACTACACTTCGTCTGCTTGCAGGTTGTGAGGAAGACAACCACACCAGAGGGGGAGGTGATCCCCATCCATCAGATCGACGTGCAGACAGAGAGTGCTGTGGGCAGCAACAGCCTGTTCCTCCTCGCCCCGCTCATCATTTGCCACATCATCGACAAAAACAGGTCCAGAAACACATCATGGAGGCTGTGGCTTTATTACACCTGACTGAACCCCACTTTGCGCTCTCCACAGTCCACACAAACAGATAATATGTGATGTGTTATCAACCAGAAAGCCCCTCGGCTGATTTATGATTAACAGAAAATGGCAGAGAGGAGAGAATATTGGCATTTGGCTGCTTTTGCTTTAAAAATAATCCAAAGTAATTGTTTTACCTTTAGTTCTTTTTAAAAGTTAATCACTGGAAAAAGAAAACTCATAAAAATAACAGTGTAAGAGTGTGAGATAACAAGATGAGACTCGTTTATGCCCTACCGCCACCTGCTGGACAAACACAGACTTAAAGTTTAAATAAACAACTAAAACAGAAACCATGTATCACCTGCACATACTCTGACATACTCCGATATTTAAACCTGGACTCCCCCCACTCTGCCCTCAGCCCGCTGTACGACCTGTCAGCCATGGAGCTGCAGTGCAGCGACCTGGAGGTGATTGTCATCCTGGAGGGAGTAGTGGAGACGACGGGCATAACCACGCAGGCACGGACTTCCTACGTCTCCGAGGAGATCCAGTGGGGCCACCGCTTCGTTTCCATAGTAACAGAGGAGGAGGGCGTGTATTCTGTCGACTACTCCAAATTTGGCAACACAGTCAAGGTAAACGCTAAAACAAAAAAGATCCTGGTGGACTTTTGTTCATTATCATCATCAATCACAGCAAAACATTGATTTGGGTCAGTGTCTCTTCCCACTGGTGAACTTGGTTTAAGAGATGTTCACAAAATGTTCTCTTGTTCCTCCTGCAGGTTGCGACGCCATGCTGCAGTGCCAGAGAACTGGACGAGAAGCCGTCCATCTTAATCCAAACCCTCCAGAAGAGTGAGCTTTCGCACCAGAACTCACTGAGGAAGCGCAACTCCATGAGACGCAACAACTCCATGCGCAAAGGTGCAGGAAGCAGCGGGAGTCTCCGCAGGAACAACTCAGGCCTCGCCGTGCCTAAAGTCCAGTTCTTCACCCCAACCGATGGAGGCCAGAACCTGAACGCCGTCACCTGACATGAGGCCTACCGTCTGCTGGCTCCACTGCTCTTCCTGGTGGGGAGGAAGATCCTGGGTGTTGGTGCATCTGTCTCTCTGATTGGACTCATTCTTCTTCTTTTCACTGGCATAGCTAGACTTGTGTCTCGACACGTTCACTGTTAATGTTCCCTGTGTTTACGTTCATGGTTTAAAATGGGTCCTGTTCAGATTACATTTGTGATCTCTAAGCAGTTAAAGTAACATTCCTCTGCGCTGACAGAAACCCAGAAAGCAGATACTAAAACAGATAAGAGACGGATGGAAACTGCAGAATTGGTTGTGTGAGCTTAAACTGATTTCTAAATGACATACAGCGCTTTTCATTCTGAAACACTACAGTATAAAACGTGCAAAAGTGGCTTTAGCCTGCATTCTTTCTCATGGCCATCAGGGGGCTACTCCTCTGGCTCCCAGATCTTGGCTAAAGCCTTAAAACTGACGTCAGTAAACACTTTTCTTTTGGGTTTTTGGACTCAATCACTTGTATAAGTTTTATGTTCCTTCTGTACATTATGGTCCTCATTAGAGTCCATAAGGATGATAAAACATGGATCAGGCAGTTTGCAGACGACTGTATTGGTTTGACCATCACTTCTGTGATGCATCAGTACACAAGCTCAGAGAGTCACAGATTACACATAGGAAGATAATCTTCCTGCTTGTTCTGGTTTTAAGTTACACCAGCACCACTGATGCAGAGGTTTCGTCTTCCCCTATCATTTAGAAAAATACATTGAATGCCTGTGCACTGTAAAACAGAGCTGTGGATGAGACATGACCAATGCGGTGACCATAATCGGTCCTTAACTTCTATAATGACTGTCATGTTGTATTGTATAAGCTCTGAAAGTTATTAATTAACAGGAAAGTGTTCACTAAGCTCACTAATGAAGTCAGGATCACTTCTATAGACTTCAGTTCAGCTGGACTTTTCTCTGAAACCAAAGGATTTGCCCCCTGCTGGCCATTAGAAAGAATGCAGATTGTCTAAATCCGTCTTTCTTGTCGTTGCCCCCCGTTTTCTTTGTTAACCTAAACTAGCAATTCTATGCCTTTATCTCAATGATGCTGCACATCAGATACTCAGAATAGCAGCAATAGTATATTCTTAAACACACACAATACCCTTTGTGTTTGTCTGTGTGACCTGCCTGGTCTCAACTTCAGTTACCAGTTCTCTCCACTCAGAAGACGAGACGCTCCCTGACCCAGCTGATGTGTTCCACTTATTGTAATGATCCGCAGACAGAGAAAGCAATCTGAAGATTTCACTCTGGACAAACGAGAGGTTGCATTGAACCTTTTGTACCTTAATGGTTTATTTTAAAAATCAGCATGTTAATGTCTCGTGAAAATAAAAGATTATTCCAGCTTTGAAGTAGATTTACTGTAGCCATGGTGTGCACTGTGCAGAGGGGGAAAAGACTGTGATGTGTTCACTTTTACTGTTTACTGCAAAGGTGTTGTGATTCATTCAGAGTCCTTCTTTATCCTTCACCATCAGCTCAATCCTCTGTTGGCAGTTTTGAGACCACAAATAGTTTCATGTGAAATCAACCAGCTGTCGCATCAGCATTACTGACATGTTTGCCTTCACTGTATCGCTGCTTGTTCCGCTTGGTTCCAGTTTCCAGTTCATTTCCATAATCTGTCCAAACCGTGCATGCTATATTATCACAACAGCAGTATGCAAAAACACCTGGCTGTTGTAAGGGCAGACGCACTGCTTAAGTAATATTTTCTAATTAAGTTCACAATCACTACTAATGAGAAGTCATGGCAGTCATTCACCGTATGGTACTGATTTGTGTATTTTTCATGTATGGTTGTCTTTGTGTTGTTTGAGAATAAATACTTATGTATGCAAACGATGCAAATGCAAAACATGAATGTGGTTTCACTGTCTGTCTGTCACTGAGCAGCAAATGCAGAAACCCATTAAAAAAGATTACATAATTATACTGTTAGACAGTCTTTCACAAATATATAACAAACTCACTAATGCAGTTTATACACTGATGAAGATCTGCTTTTCTTCTAGGATCTTGGCCGACATACCAAATTTCCTCAGCTTCCTCAGGAAATACAGCCGCTGCTGAGCCTTCTTGACCAGCTGTGTGGTGTCAATGTCCAGGTTAGGTCCTCAGTGATGTAGACGCCTTGGTATCTAAAGCTGCTCACCTTCTCTACTTCACTCTCCCGGATAAACAGCAGCTGGTGAGGCCTCCTCTCCTTCCTCGTGTCTACTATCATCTCTTTTGTCTTATCGGTGTTGAGGGTGAGGTTGTTGTCCCCACACCATGACACCAGACCGGCCACCTCTCTCCTATAAGCCGCTTCGTCCCCTCCAGTGATGCGACCAATCACTGTCATCTGCGAACTTCAGTATGGTTTTATCCCTATTGGTGTACAGGGTGTAGAGGATGGGACTGAGGAAAGAACGATGAGTAGAAGCCATCCAGCTTCTCTCTGTACTGCCTCTTAGCCGCTGTAATGGCTTTCCTCAGTCCATACTTCGCAGCTTTGTACTCTATCTCATTGCCTGATCTAAATGCAAGAGACCGAGCACACAGCATGTGTCGTAACTGACTGAGATAGAGAAGCAGAAGAAAACCCAGAGCACACAAGACAGGAGACTATCAAAATAAATAACTAATACTGAGGCCAGACAGAGGCAGTAGATGGACAACAAACTTATAATTAACATAAAGCAGTGAAGAAACCAAAGTCCCAGATTCAATAAAACCATAAACAGAAGTTAAACATAAACACAAGGCTGTGGAGCTATGGGAACATAAATCCCCAAAACACAGAACGAACCTGAAGAAAGCATGAAAACAAGAAGATATACGAAATATAAAACCATAATAAAAATAAATACAAGAGTAGAGAAAACCTAAAGATCCCCAAAACTCAAACCACTGAGCCAAAGATCTTAATTTACAAATATTTTGGAAGAAAAACAAATCAACTGATAGTATTTTTACATGTATGTCAAAAATCTCTATTTATGTGTCACATAAACATTAAATACTACATACAGACTTCAGCTTCTCAGCTTCCTTCTTTGACTGCCACTCAACCATTTCTTATCTGGCCAGTAACAGGAAGGGTCAGGAAGCCCTGCCCTCTTTTGAAATGAGGAAGCAACTTGTTTTTCTCTCTGCTGAGGATGCACGGATGAAAGACGACACTTTATCGCAAAATTCAAGACTTCCCAGTGAGGAAAGACTGCAATAGTACCACAGGGAATACTGTGAATACTGTCATTGGCAATGTACTGTACCTGCTGCTAGGAGGCTCGTAAGGAAAGTGAAAGTAACTTGACAGTATAGAGAGGAACTAACTGCAACATGGCGTCTAAATTACAGGAAGATCTGTCGTGTCCCGTCTGCAAAGATATATTTAAAGATCCAGTCATCCTGTCATGTAAGCACAGCTTCTGTAATGACTGTTTACAGAAATACTGGGCAAACAAAAATGATTTGGGGTGTCCGGTCTGCAAGAGGAAGTCTTCAAAGGAGTGTCCACCTGTTTATTTTGAGCTGAAGAAGCGTTGTGAGGCTTTCTTACAGGAGCGAGCCTCTGAGCCCGTCTGCAGTCTGCACTCTGAGAAACTCAGCATCTTCTGTGTGGATGAGCAGCTGCTACTGTGCAGATACTGCACAGATCAAGAAGCTCACAGAAACCACCGTTTCCAGTCTGTTGATGAAGCATCTCAGGACCACAAGAAAAAACTTGAGGATTCATTAAAACCCCTGAAAAAGAAAATGAGGGCCATCCGTGAGGTTAAAGGGAAATGTGATCAAACCGCAGAGCATATTAGAGCTCAGGCTGAAAGCACAGCGAGGAGCATTAAGGAGCACTTTCAGAAGCTTCACCAGTTTCTAGAAGAGGAGGAGGCAGCCAGGTTGGTTGCACTGAGGGAGGAAGAGGAGCAGAAGAGTCAAGTGATGAAGGAGAAGATTGGGGCTCTGAGCAGAGAGATAACAGCACTTTACCGCACCATTAAAGATACAGAAAATGAGCTGAGAGCTGGTAATGTCTCATTTCTGCAGAACTACAGAGCTGCAGTGGAACGAGTTCAGCAGCAACCTCTTCCTGATGATGCAGAGCTTGCCTCGGGAGCACAGGTAGATGTGGCCCAGCATGTGGGCAACCTAAGCTTCAATGTGTGGGTCAAGATGAAGGAGATGGTTTCCTACTGTCCTGTGATCCTGGATCCAAACACTGCTCATCCAGGCGTAATCCTGTCTGAAGATCTGACCAGTGTGAGGCAGGGAGAGCAAACCCAGGAGCTTCCTGACAATCCAGAGAGGATTGATCACTTCTTCTCCGTTGTCAGCTCCGAGGGCTTTGACTCGGGCTCTCACAGCTGGGAGGTGGAGGTTGGGGACAATACGGCCTTCGTGCTGGGAGTGTTAACAGACTCATTTCAGAGGAAAGGAGTCATTTGGCCTGCACTGTGGAGGCTGATGTTCTGTGGTGGTGAATACAAAATACTGTCGCCATTAGACCCGGGGTCAGACGTGCAAGTGACGAGGAACCCGAAGAGAATCAGACTTCAGCTGGACTTTGACAGAGGAGAGCTGTCATTTTATGACTCTGACACAGACACACACATACACACCTTCACACACAGCTTCACTGACAGGCTGTTTCCATACATTAGCACCTGGTGTGACGTCCCAATAAAGATAGTGGCACTGAAGATCTCTGTAACAGTGGACGGTTCGTTGTAAAATGCCATGTGCGCTGATGAACAAGGCTAAAAAATTTTGGCTGCCAAAGCTAGAACCTGTTAAAACTACAAGTTTTTACTTTTTCACCTCTTCTGTCATCTGCGTTTCATTTTGCAATGCACAAAAATGCAGTCAATATTTAATAAACTGATAATTAGGTAAAGAGGTGCATGGTAACCTAATATTAACCCTGACACTTGTCTTAAATGGCTTGCTGGTGACCTAGATGGTGAAAGAAGTGTAACTTTAAAGTATTTATTTGTCATTTTGTAGTTTCTGTAACGTTATTAAAAACACACCTGCACACTTTGTTTTTTGTTGAGTCCCTTACACTGATGTAAATCCAGGTAACACAGAAGATTGGAGTTTGTACGTGCTTTGTTTCTAGGGGCCACCGTAAATATACTTTTATTTATTCACTCCACATGAAATGTAATAAATAAACTATAAAATACAAAAACCATCTACACACGTCGCCTTCACACACTTCTCCGCAGCTCCATGTAACGCCGATACAACCTCCACTGTGAGGAGAGGTTACCGAAGGCACACTCCACTACCAGCTGGGCCCTGGAGAGGCGATAGTTGAAGATCCTCTTCTCTAATGGGAGGAGGCGTCCAGGGAAAGGCCTCATGATCTCCCGCCGCAGCGGGAACGCTTCATCAGCCACAAAGACATGGGGATGGGCTCCACAGTCTTCTCCACCAGGTAGAGGCTGGTCAGGAGACAGATGGAGAGTCCCAGCCCAAAGAGCCTGACCAAAGGTGGAGTTGGCCAGAATACCTTCCATATCCCCCAACATCAATGACGCGGAAGCGATACCCTGCATCCACAAATGCAAGGAGAACAATTGAAAAAGTTCCCTTGTGGAACATGGATCCTGAGTTGGGGGGGTGCCTTCATCTGGACGTGCTTCCCATCCAGAGCTCCACAGCAGAGAGGGAAGTTCCAGTGCTCCTGGAATCCCTCTGCGATGGACCGCCAGTCTTCAGTTGAAAGTACAGCCATGAAGTCGCCCACTAGACAGTCCCAGATGGTCGTTGCTACCTGGGGGGTGATCTGGCACACCGTGGACACACCGACTCTGAAACTGAATGCGATGGTCCTAAAGGAGTCCCTGGTGGCACATATATATATTACATAATATATATTAGATATAATATAAAACAGTCAGTTGTGTTTTGTTTTAACTTTACGATGTCCTAATTTGATTGGTAGCAACTTTTACCACTACAGTGTGCCAATCACTCATAATTCCTAAACATGTCAATCAGGTAGGAACGAAGTAAGACATTAATAGAAATAAAGAGTTGGATGTTGACATGTAGCCCTTTCCTTTCTTAAATCATTAATATTTTTGAAAAATTAACCTGTGATAAGACAGCTTATCAAGATAGAATTGTTATTATCAGATAACTAAAGATGAACCAACTTTCTTGATGCATTCTCAATTATCCAGGAAAGTAAACCCTCTGGGTTTTGGTCAGTGGTTGTTGATCAATGGTCATGAGAATTTGCATAATTATGATTAAGGAACTGACCTCCCAGCCCATTGTTCCCTGAGTGGGCTGGTTTCAGTCATTATGCAAATGCACTGTTTATAAGATTGGGGAAACCTGCAGTCAGCTGAAACTGAAGAAGTCACTTGGATGAGTGACGAAACGTTTCTCCCACAAAACGCTACGTCCAGATGAACAGAATCAACTTTTGGAGATGAACCAAGCTGTTTACAATTTTATCTAGCTCTCAGTTTTAAAAAGGCTGGTGACCCCTGCTATGGTCTGACAGCTGCAGTTGGATATACAAATATTCGACTGGTTCTATACCAGAATTAAACCAGGTCTAAGTAAAAAAATAATAAAAATAATAAGGACTTATCCGTTAAACTAGCTATGTAATTCCTAAATGCGTGTAGTTTAGGGTAGATTATTTTACCTCGATATGACTGGCTCTGATGAGCCTAAGGTACCAAACATACCAGCGACGTTTATACCGGTTTTGTAGCTCCTCGGAAATTAAAACACTACACAGCACACTGAGGAACATTTATTTGTCCATTTTTCAGTTTTCGTGCTGTGGTGTGAACGACCAGAAATGTGTGGAATAAAGGGCAGACTTGAACGAAGGCCAGCTTCTCAAGCCCATCCTACTCGGCTGTTCAAAGAATCCTACCTACGTCACGTAGGTAGGATTCTTCGGAGCACCCTTCCCTGAATTTGGACACAGCATATAAATTAACTCTAAATCATGAAATCCTTTTATTCATTGAACTCTTACAACTGTAAATGAAGTACCTTGGTAACCAAGCATATGATTTTTAAACCTTTTATCAACTTTATATATTTTAACCACTTTTATAACCATGAACTTTTCCCCCGGTTTTCCTTTATACTCTAAACCTGAATAATTTCGGACAATGCTACACTCCGGACATTCTTTCACCATGTTAAATTTACTCTTTCACAAGAGTTGAAATTCCAGAGTTAAATTGACTCTAAATTGAGTCAGGATTTAACACTGACCAACACTGGGTTATATGAGATTAACACTACAGGCTAAATTACGCCGTAAAGAGCATTATTTATACATTTAAGTATGCATATTTTACTCTAGTTAATTGATAAATAAACTCAGAATTAGAATGCATATGAAATATATAATTCCCTTTTTTTGGATTGTAACTTGTTGTTTGTGAAGGTTCTCAGTCATCCAGGTCAGCGTAGTCTAAGGAGCTTGGGGAAAAAAAGCGTCTGGACTTCTTTAAGATGCTTGAAGACGTTTCACCTCTCATCCGAGAAGCTTCTTCAGTTCTAGGGTCCCCCCAAGACGGACAATGGACCCCCTAATTATCCTCTACCTAATCACACGAGCCAAGGTGTGAAAGACTGCTGATTTTGCTGTGTGCGTAGCAGCAAAGAAGCCTTGAGAAAACAAGAATGATGAGCGAATCTGGACTCTGATAACGTCTTGCTCTGCTCTCTGTGTCAATGACGCCTCACATTGAATTTGTGAACAAGGTTTTCATTTTAGCCACTTTGATTTAAATTTTGCGTAAATAAATCCATATGAGAGTTTTAATTTTAATGCACACTTTTAACCAAAACAACAGAAACTAACACAAACACCACTTAACAAAAAGCTGGCACAATAAAAGGTGATGGACTAACGTCAGTCATTGTGAGGATTATGTGTAACAGGACAAAGAAAATCCCTAAAAATACTTCATTTTTTAGATTTATGTTGTAGTTATGTTGTTATTAATTTTTTACTGAAATACTGGCAACATTTCATACCTCTATAAGCTACTGAAGTAGAGTGTTGTATTTCAACAAGCTTATTGAATTATAATATTATAGTTTTGTGTCAAGACTATTAATTTTTATAATCTTCTACTTAATTACAAATCCAGAACTAATTAAACCAGGATCTGAAAAAAAAAGTAATTTTGCTCAAAGATCCAAACTTTAGCTTCTGTTTAGGATTTACAGTCTAGCAAACAGAGCTTAGATGTAGCTCATCTCAACATTAAGATTCTCTTTCCATTCTTAACCTCATTTAATCCATCTAAAATTGGACAGAAAGCAGCATTTATCTATTACGTCAATTTTTTTATCCACCATCTTAGTCAACAGTGTATTTCCTTCTCATTGCTCTCACAGCAGCATTTAAGGCACACAATGGATCATCATCATCTTTAGCTATGGTGAACAGGAGGAAATCCTCAGAGAACATGAAACAGCACAGCCGACACATTCACTGAAGGCTGGTGGTAATTACTCAACTCACCAGTGAGTGCTAATCATGTGTTCCTGTCAATATTAATCACATGATCATTGTATAAAACTCATTCATTGCTAAAACTCAGTCAGTCGTGGGCTTTTTCTGCTTTATGGCTCCACACTGGTTTGCGTTTCTCTATGAAGGCGCGGATCCCCTCCTGCCCGTCTCTGAGAGCCAGGTTGTCGACCATCACCTTTGATGCGGTGGCATACGCAGCATCGCGACCTTGAGCCATTTGTCTTAGGAAGGAAACATACAGAAACAAACACCACATATTTTAATTTATATTTAATTGTGTTGTGGTTTGCAGTGTTTTGTGTTGTTTCACTTTAAATTTGTTTAAAAGGAAAAAGCTGAAAATTTAAATAGTTAAAAGTTAAAATGTAGATAGTTGGTTTTTGTATTATGATTTATTTATTACATTTTATGTGGAGTGAATAAATAAAAGTATATTTACGGTGGCCCCTAAAGACAAAACACGTACGACCGGATTTGGTGTGTGGTAGTAACAGGTAAATGAACATTTTTTTAATTATTTGAATATATATGAGTGCTTGTGTATAAATACACAAACAATATACATATGCTTTCAATTGTGTAATGTGATCTAGGTAGCTCTGTTTTGAAAGGTCAGCAATGTGTTTTGGAGTTTGTACGTGCTTTGTCTGTAGGGGCCACAGTATATATTTATATAGAAACATATATAAATAAAACTTCTTTTTTTACATTAGTAATTCCTTTTGTGCATAATTTCATATTATTGTTAATAATAAATTAATTAAAGCAACAAAACAACCTGAAGAGCCGGTTGGGAGCCGAAAGAGCCGGCTCTTATTAGTGAGCTGAACCGAAAGAGCCGGTTCTCTAAAAAGAGCCGGAAATCCCATCACTAATTCCTATGAAATTATTGCCATGGAAACCGTCTGTGAGTTTACACACTGTAAATTCTCACCTTTGGAAAGTGGCCTTTCCGAGGGCTACAACAGGTCGGCTAGCTTTACAGATACGCTGGGCGATGGCTAATGTTTCCTCTTCCAACTGCTCCTCCGGCACCACTTTACTGACCAGACCGTGGAGCAAAGCATCATGGGCTGAGATGGGAGTTCCTGTGAACAACATCTCCATAGCAACCTGTTTAAAAGAAGGAAAGGAAGGTGTGTATTGATTAGAGCTAAATACTAGAATACTAAGGATGTTTGTTCACAATTGAGTAGATCCAAAGAGAGACAACATGTTCTGAACACGTGTCCTCTTAGAAGAATCAAAATCCAAAAGTGATATTGACTTCAAGTGATTCAGAGCTGAATGACAGATTGATAAACTCCAGAGAACAGCGTCCTGTTTTTCATGAGTGCCTCATAGAAAACAGGGTTTAACTGAGAACTTTTCTGTTGAATAATTTTCATGATGTTCATTTATAGACCAAGCTAAGACAGGGTGTAAATAAAGATTTAAAAAAGGACCTCGTGTACCTTTAATTTACTCGTAGTGACTGTAATTACTCAAACCTTCAAAACACAAAACAAAAATGTTAAAATTGATTATTAATGAGAATAAACAAAAAACAGCCTTTAAAAAGCAGACGTTTTTTAAATGACTT